AATGCATGCTGGAACAGAACCAGATACCCAGTTTTATAACTTTCATTCATAATTGTTATAAAAATGATTTCCAAAACCCGTATATTATTATATCATTATAATGATGAGGTTTAATTTTTCCTTGGAACTCCTAGAACATTATTAAGAAAAGGTAAAGTGACCAACCTTTCAGATCACTAAGACAGTGGAACCTTGAGTAGTCTTCAGAGTGGAATTGGGATAATTATTGCAGTAATCATATTGTATTTCTTTTATTTGCTCTAAAAGTCAGAGACAGGCTTATACTGTGGATGCATAGAATACAGTCCACATTCCTAGAAAAAAAATCAGTTTCCCTCTAAAATACTGCAAAATTGGTGTTGGAGGGTGTTCAGCTGTTTCATGTTTTGACCAGTATATACTCAGGGTTGTTGCTTGTAGTGTGACTTCCTCCAGTATCACATGAAGGCATTCTTGAGGAGAGCCGTTGGTCCAGTTTGATGAAGAAGGAAAGTAGTGAGATGGCGGATAAAGAAAGTAAAGGAAGAGAAGTCCAGAGCTAAAAGGCATTTTTAAAAGAGGGGTAGTTGAAAAGCTTGCTAACTGGATGCAAAATTCGACACTGCAAGAGGCAGAAGAATCATATCAATTCATGATGTATATGACATATGAAGCTCCTGACATGTTATAAATGTGGATACAAGTGTTCTTATGGAGAGAAACAAATATGTGAAAGGCTGGTGAAATCAGAGAGTGAAAGGAGCAAAGGAAAAAGAAAGCCTGTATGAAGAAATGATGTGTACGATCATGATAAGCATACACATATGCAGACTTCATGCACTCATCATCCTGGGTATGACACTGTTCAAAGTAAATGTGATGAAGTATTTTTGTTTATGTCATTCAGGTTCAGTATAAGAATTTACCTCAATTTGCCTTGCACCTAAAATTGGCATAAATGTTAGTTATATTGTGAGTATTTGTTGAAATCTACTGTTTTGTGCTTTCCCAAAAGAAACAGTCAGGATAATTGAAGGTTAAAACTGTGGAATAGTGTTGAACTTGAATTTGTTTAATAATTTTTACTATATTTTCTAACCGTTTCAGTAATGAAAAACCAAAAATAAATATGAATTCTCTAGGTGTAGCCATGGTTTTCAGGCTAAAATTTATATTGACTCTTTTTTGTAGGATGTGATAGGTCCACATTCTGAAAAAATACCCGCTTCTTACGAGTTCCTTTAATATAAAGTAGTGGAAACTTACCATTGTTTATCTGTGGTTAGTATAAATATATGGATCATGAAAGTTACTTTATTTCACTTTATTGATTAGCTAAAATAACATACATGGTATGGAAATTCAGTTTAGATATTTCTAAATGTATATCAAATTGATTATTGAGTGACATAGGAAGCATAATACTGTACATGCAAGTGCAGATACTTTAATGTATCATAAAATAGCTGGCAAGAAATATGTATATTGCAAGTATTGGTGGTTGATAAGATTACTCTATGTCCGCTGTAATTTTTGTTTATAAATCTTGTTTATACACAGATGGCTCCACCAGCTCCTAGTCACCAAGGAGTTAGGTACACGGCTTACCTGTTGAGAGCTGTTTACCCTATTCCCTAAATTTTCAGAAAGGAAAAATTCTATTATTACTATTATTATTGTTAACAATGTCATTACAATAACATTGTCAGTATCTATATTTATTCATCTATCAAAAATTTTCTGCTGCATCAACATCTAAGGTCATTTGCCGTATATTCAAGATTTAGTGATAGGGTGAGGCTTGGGGCAAAACCCCAGGTAAAGAAAGGCCATACAGCACTATGATAAAGTATTGTGGCAAAAGGGTTAGAAATGAGTTAACATTTAGGACAAAATCTGTTAGATGTCAAAAGTTGTAGAGCCCTGTAGGTTAGAATAGTTGTGAAAAGGGTAAAGAGAGAAGAGCAGAAAGAATACGAAGGCCGTTAAGGACTGCCACAAAGCCAGCATTTCATCCTTTCACATGGCTCTCACTCTTTAAGATATGGACAGAAGAAGGAATGAAGAAGAGAAGGAAAAAGAAAAGGAGAGATGTAAAGACCTTGCAAAATTAGTGAGGTGAGGGCTGAGGTCCAAGGTAGGGGTGATCCCCTACATTGGGCTTGAGTCTCTGTCCCCTAAGTCCCCCATGACAACAACAAGGGATTGGTGGAAGACATTGTCAATACTATTGATAATGTTAAAAATGATAATAATATCAGAATTTTTCTATGAAAATTCACGGATGGGGTAAACAAGTGAGATCAGGTAGGCCTCCTTGGTGACTATGTGCTTGTGAAGCCATCTCTGTATAAACAAAACAGACAAAGCAAGACTACAGTGGACAGTGTATGGAAATAGGTCTAAAATTTAATGTTGGATTAACTTTCTCTGCTTTAGGCTTTTCTTTTTTTATATGCAAAGTATTTTCACTGTAAACAGAAATTAGGTTTTGATAATTCATTTCCTCTTTTCAACACAGATATCCATTGACCTTAAATAAAGATTTCTTCAACCTTCATTCATCCTGCATTCCTTATATTATGCTATAATAAATTCATAATTATTACTCCTAACATTATGTATAATAAAACATTAAAATACAAACATCTCCTTAAGTGTAATGAATTAGTTTCTTCAAGATATCTGCATAGGCAAAGATAATTTCAAAGTAGAATATAAACTGCCTTACTTATTTTTTAATACGCAAAACAAAGGATATGACAAAAACAAAAATACTTTTAGATTTTAATCTGTTAACATAATATTCTCTTCTAATAAATTATAATAATCAAACTCTTACTATAGAGAGGTAATGTTATTTTGTATAGTCATAGAAACCTTGTTTACACATAAATAAATATGTAATAACATGCCACAGTATATATAAGTAGCCATTGCAATGCCTTATTCATATTTTCTAAAACACTACCAAAAATCATTAAATGGGTCCTCATACATATACTATGTTGCACTGTGAACACCATCTAAATGTTTTATCAGCCATGTTAAAAATCTAAATCATGATGACTAACTGACATACCTATGTGTGAAAGATGTTCTCATATTATTGTGTCTGTTCCCAAAGCACAGACTCTGAAATAAAACAGCAGTTATGATTGGCATTGGACTCAGACATTATCCTTGATCTAAGCTCATGCAGTAATTAAGCATCTCATATAGAGTCTAAAAGGTTCACAATAGATTTTTTTGAAATTTCTTTCTCTGTCATATTTTGAAAAATGCCACTTAACATATTTTATTTTATTTTTGCCACTGATTTCTACTATATTTTTTTTATCAATTATTAAAAAATAGCATTGCTTTTACTCTATCACTTTGTATTTTGTTATACACAATACCTTATATTTTCAAAAAAAAAAAAAAAAAAAAATCCCTTTGAGACCTTTTGAATGTAGAAACATGACAGAAAGTGATTCAGACAGCTCCTACATTTAGC